CCCCTTCTTCCTAAATTTTCTCTTCTATTTATAGCAAAATTTTCGAAATTTTTCAGATTTGTTGTTTTATTATTTGTTTATTTTTTAATTAAAAGAAATCCCACTTACAAATTGCTTTTAGTTTTTTAGAAAAAGAAATCCCACCTTTATTTACTTTTATTTTAAAATTTTAACTTTAATTACTTTTATCTTATTTAAAATCCCACTTTTTATTTTTTTAAAAGAGAATTTCACTTTATTTAACTTTTCTTTAAAAAAAATAAACCACTTTCTTTTCCTTTTTCTTTTAAAAATGCTACTTTCATTTACTTTAATTTTTTTAAATTTTCAGATACCTTTATATTTATTTTTTAATTTCAACCTTCTTTTACTTTTTAATTTTTTAAAATTTCCACAAACTTTTTATTTTTTTTAATTTTCTACATTCTTTTACTTTTTTAAAAAGAGAATTGCACCTATTTTTACTTTTATATTTTTTTTATTCAATACTTTCCTTTTTCTTATTTTTTAAATCATTCCCGAAATTTTATTATTATTTTTTTACAAAAATAATATTTTCGGATTTTTTTTATAAAAAAACAAAAAAAATAAAAAATATAAATAGTGATAATTCACCTTTTAGTTTTTTTTTTTGTATTTTTATCCTATAATAAAAAGTGTAATAAAGCTAAAATAATAGTAGGTTAAAACCCCCTAAATTATTTACATAATAGAAGTGATAAAAAATTAATTATTGTTAAAAATTAGGTGTTCACACAACACATGTAAATCAGTCCAAGAATGACATGCTGACCACAGAGTATGAGCTTTTCAGAATGAAGGACGATGAATTCATTCAGGATATGCACACTCGTTTCACATCTATCATCAATGAGCTTCACTCACTGGGAGAGAACATCCTCAAGAACAAAGTTTCCAGGAATATACTTAGTGTATTACCTGGTTCCTAGGAAAGCTAAGTAAATGCCATCACAGAGGCAAAGGATCTTCAAAAGCTGACCGTTGATGAACTTGTCGGCAATCTCAAGACCTATGAAATGATGAAGAAGTATAATGAGAGAAGAGAGCCCAAAACTGATAAGAACATGGTCCTCAAGACGGACATCAATGACTCAGGTGGTGAGGATGCTGATATGGCCTATCTGACCAAAGGTTTTCAGAAAATGGTTCGCAGAAATGGAGGCATTCCAAAATGGGGTAGCTCCAGCAAGCCAAAAGGTTATGACCTATGTCATAAGTGTGGCAAGCTTGTACACTTAATCAAGGATTGCCCTCTTCTCAAGAAAGATCAATACAAACATAAAACTGACAAAGTAGCTAAGAGGAACTAGGTTCCTAACAAATGATTCAAGAGAAAAAATGTCGCTAACAATGTTTTAAAACAAGCTCTTGCTGCATGGGGAGACTCTTCCAACAAATCTAAAGAAAATGATGATCAAGGTGATAGCTCCATGATAGCAGTAGAAAGTGAAGCAGCTGAGTATGACTCAATCTTTGCCCTTATGGCAAAATCTGACAATGATGATGATGAGGTAAACTTCTTAAATGTTCAAAGAAATCTAAAGTCTTATTCTCCGAAAAACTTATGTCTTTAGCAAATATTTTAATTGATGTGAATCATAGTCTTATAAATGATAAAGATGCATTAACTGTGGAATTGGGAGAAGCAAAACAGTAGAGAGATGATCTAGTAGTTATGGTTGTAGACTTAAAGGAAACCATTGAGAGTTTGAAGAAAGAAAAATATGCCTTAACTGAAAAAATTGCAAACATAGGACATGAGAGAGATGATCTAGTGGTTATTGTGGTCAATCTAAAATAGACCATTGAGTGTGTTAAAAAGGAGAAAGAAGTTTTAACTGAAAGGGTTGCTAATATTGAGCGTGAGAAAGATGACCTATTAGTGGTGGTTGTAGACCTAAAAGAAACAATTGAGGAACTAAAAAGGGAAAGTAGGACTAGAAATACTCAAAAAGGAAAGGAAGTTGTAAGTGAAGCACACCTTAGGCTTGAAGATGATTTAAAATCAGTAAAATCTAGTCTGTGTGCAGAGCTTGAGAAAAACAGACAACTTCAAGAAGACCTAGAAAAAGTGAAGAGTGACCTAGAAAAATCACTTAAGTGGACCTAGTCCTCAGATGCAATCACTGCTATGCATACGAATAATGGGGGAAATAGGAAGGGAATCGGGTTTCAAATGGAAAAGACTCCCTACAAACCTTATAGCAAGTACATTACTGCACCTGATAACTGCTCTGCACTCATTGTGGTAACATTAGGTACTTTAGGGAAACCTGTAGGGCCAAATTTCAATCTCAACAAAAAAATAAAGCTTTGCTGGAAAAATAACTACCACTAGGGAACCTGGTCCTTCATATAAAAATGTATAATGCCTTCTTGGACCAAAAGAGCCCTCATTCACCCATTTACTAATTACAAAGGACCCAAACTTGTTTGGGTTCCTAAGTCTAACTCTTGATTTCCTTGTGCAGGGAATAGTGAAAGGGAGCAGTCAACAATGATACATGGATAGCGGTTGCTCGAAGCACATGACTGGAAATACAAATGATTTTCTTTCATTGAAGGCCCGGTAAGGAGGGAGTGTATCCTTTGAAAATGGCAAGAAGGGATATATTTTGGGAGTTGGAAGGATCGGTAAGTCTCTTTCTCACTCAATTGAAAATGTGTACTACGTGAACGAGTTGAAGTACAACTTGCTGAGTGTTTCCCAAATTTGTGATAAGGAAAATAAAGTGGAATTTGTATCCAAGATATGCACAATCACAAATCTAGTGACTGGTAAAGTGGTGTTAGTGGCCAGAAGATACAAAAATATCTATGTTGCTGACTTTGAGTCCTTGCAAAATGGAGATCTCAACTATCTAAGTATTGTTGATGATAATGCGGAGCTATGGTACAGAAAGCTGGGTCATGCAAGTTTTACGTTGCTGAACAAATTGGTCAAGAAGGACTTGGTTCATGGTCTGCCCAAGTCAAGCTTCAAGGATCACAGGATGTGTGATGCATGTATAAAAGGAAAGCAAGCCAAATCCTCTTTCAAGCCCAAAAAGAAAGTTAGTACCTCAAGGCCACTTGATCTCCTCCATATGGATCTATGTAGACCTATGAGGGTTAGAAGTAGAGGAGGAAAGAAGTACATATTTGTTATAGTGGACGACTATTCCAGATTCACTTGGACTCTGTTTCTCAGAACCAAGGATGAAGCCTTTCAAGTGTTTGTGGAATTTGTAAAGAAGATCCATGTGAAGATGAGCCATAATGTAGTATGTATCAGGTTTAACCATGGGACATAATTTGATAATGTCAAATTCAACAAATTCTGTGCTGAAAATGGCATCACCCTCAATTTCGCAGCTCCAAGAACACCTCAATAAAATGGTGTTGTGGAGAGAAAGAACATGACTCTTGAAGACATGGCAAGAACAATGTTGATTGACAGAGGCATTGTAAAAAGTTTCTAAGCAGAAGCTGTCAACACTGCATGTTATTTGGTGAACAAGTGCATGATCAGGTCCCTTCTGAACAAAATTCCATATGAACTGCTGAACGAAAGGAACCCCAAACTGACACATTTAAGAACATTTGGCTGAAAATATTTTGTCCTCAACAATGGCAAGAAGCACTTGGAAAATTCGATGCCAAAAGCGATGAAGGAATCTTTCTGGGCTATTCATAACAAATCTAAACCTACAAAGTATACAACAAAAGAACTAAATGTGTTAAAGAAAGCATACATGCGATATTCAGTGAATCTCATGACTCATGTGGAAAGGATTTGAATGACAAGAATGATCCAGAGGGAGAACAATCAATTGTCCCTGGTGAAGTCATTGATATGGCAAATGGAAAGGATGATATGATGAGCCACATTAAGGAATCAAATGAGGATGGTGCAACCATATCTCCAATTGATGGAGAGGAACCTGGTCTCTCAATTACAATAATTGAAGCTGAGAACAGAGTTGTCGATGTTGTCCAAGGCACCCCACATGCTGAAATAAGAAGAAGCCAAGGTTCACAGTCTGAAATACATGGATCCTCTAACAATAAGACTCAGACGTCTAACTGGAAGCATAAAACTTCACACCCTCTTGAAAACATAATCACTCCTCTTGATTCAGGAATACAAACCAGATCAAAGACAAGAAACTCACTTTCCTTCTCAACCTTTCTCTCTCAAATAGAGCCCAAAAATATCAAGGAAGTATTGAAAGGTGCATACTGGATTACAGCTATGCAAGAAGAGCTCCATCAATTTGAGAGGAACAGTGTGTGACACCTGGTTCTACGACTTGCTGATTGAACTGTTATAGGAACCAGGTGGGTATTCAGAAACAAACTTGATGAGTTTGGAAACACAATAAGGAACAAGGCAAGGCTAGTAGTCCAAGGCTACATTCAAGAAGAAGAGATTGACTATGATGAAACGTTTGCTCTAGTTGCTCAAATGGAGGCCATCAGAATTCTCGTTGCCTTTGCATCTCATATGGAATTCAAATTGTTCCAAATGGATGTCAAAAGTGCATTTCTGAATGGTTTTCTAAAATAAGAGGTCTTCATCAAGCAACCACCTGGATTTGAGAATCAAGAGCATCCTGAGCATGTCTTTAAACTTGACAAGGCTCTGTATGGGCAAAACCAAGCTCCTTACACTTGAAACGAGGAAGGAACTGCTCATTGTGCAAATCTATGTTGATGACATTATTTTTGGGGCAACAAATGATTTTCTGTGTGAGAATTTGCAAAACTCATGGGGAGTGAGTTTGAAATGAGCATGATAGGTGAACTGAACTTTTTCTTGCATTTACAAGTGAAGCAAACTCTCAAGGGGACAATGATAATTCAATAGAAGTACATCAAGAAGCTGCTCAAAAGATTTGACATGGAAGGATCAAAAATCATTGATACTCCTATTGCCACAGCTACTCGTCTGGACATGGTTGAACCTGGTTCCTCTATGGATGAGACCATGTATAGAGGTATCATAGGATCACTCCTGTATTTCACAGTAAGCATACCAAATATTGTTTTTAGTGTGGGTCTTTGTGCTAGGTTTCAATCTAATCCAAAGGAATCTCATTTGAAGACAGTCAAGAGAATCCTGAGATATCTCAAAGGGACACAGGACTTGGTTCTCTACTATCCCTTAGGAGACAATTTTGATTTAATTGGGTATGTAGATTCTGACTACACTGGGTATCTAGTGGATAGGAAAAGCACTTCTGGCATGGCACATTTTCAGGGTTCATATCTGATTTTATGGGGGTACAAGAAAACAAAACTCAGTGGCCCTCTCAACTGCAGAAGCTGAATATTTGGTTGTTGCATCTTGCTGTGCTCAACTGTTATGAATTAAACAGCAGCTGGAAGATTTTGGTGTGTTCTCTGAGTGCATGCCCTTACTATGTGATAATACCAGTGCTCTTAACATGGCCAAGAATCCAGTTCAACATAAGAGAGCAAAGTACATTGACGTGTGACATCACTTTCTCAGTAATAATGTTGAAAAGGGGCTTATTTATATGAAATTCTATAGCACACAAGATCAAATTGCAGACATATTTACGAAAGCACTAAACAGAGAGCACTTTGAACGAAATCGCTTGTCTCTAGGGTTGATATAATCAAGCTGAGGACCTGGTCCCTTGATGATTGGCTACAAAATAGATGTACAAGTAAAATAGATAAAAAGTGTTTTCTGGCCCAATATACCTAATCTATATACCATTATAGGTAGACACGTATGACGATTACAGAGCAAAGAAGCAGCTAAAGCATTGTACGTTTGTCAAAGAATGAGGCTAACATTTGCAAAAACTATCGAGGAACCTGGTTCCCTCGACACAGGTTAGTAGTTCCTTTATACTCTCATGCACAACTTTTAAACGACTGAAACGGTTCCACGTCATCAACTGTCAATTTTTTTTATTTCTGGCTGTGTGAACCCAAATGTCTCGCCTCTTTATGAACCGACTCGTCTATCCAAATTGCCACTCACTCCTAATTGGTCCCTTACCCCTATTAAATAACCCCTATCAGTCACTTTCACATCTATCCATATCAAAGTATCCAAAATTCCTCTTATCCCTTCTTTAAACCAAACACCTTCTTCTTCAACTCAATAAACTCCACCATGACTGAAGATCAAGAAGCCCAAAGTTCTCCAGTCATTGTCCCCACTATGTCTTCACCCATTGAAACATCAGTGTTAGAGCCAACACTCCCCACTCCGACTAATCCAAACCCTAAATCAGAGTCACAACCACCCACTTCTCTGACCCAGTCAAGTACTAGTTCTCATCGGTGTCGCAAAACTTCTACTCCCAAGAAGTTTGTGGATGTGACCTCTCATTCTGCCTTGCCTAAAGCAATGGTCGAACAAGATACTGTAGAGAGAGAGAAGAAAATCCAGAAGTTACTAGTCTGCTTGTGCAAGAAAGCTCTGCTCTTGAGGGGGAACAAAATGTTGGTCATAGCCCTACTAAATCAACAATGATGGCCCCTGGCCTTGATTCTACATGTAATACTCTTCCTACTTTGAGTTTACCATGGGGGTACAAGAACAAGAAGCCATAGAAAACATGTTGTCTATAGCTGTTGAGGGAAGTATAATTGGGGGTGGTGAAGATGTGTCTGAGTCTTAGGGGGAAGAAAATAGTACATTAGTGGAGAGTAGGGAACTGGTGCGTGTTGAAACATTAGCACCAGACAGTACTACTGGAGCACCTACTAAGGGACCTGATCCCTCCACCCAAGAGGAGCTAACCCCTGGTTCCTCTCAATCACCCCAGGTCAGTATTGATTCTGCTCCCTCTTCTCACTTTTATGCTAAGCCTTTATCCATAGTTATCCTTGAGATGTGATCCTTGTCTGAGGAGGAAAAGGAGGATAGTAAAGAAGAAGATTATGATAATGTGGCTTTAGCGAGCTTTATCAGTGTTAGGAGTAGAAAGGCACCTCCCCAGGGGCCAACGTCTAAAAGACCCATCACGAGGTTGCAAAAGAAGGAAGAATTTGAGTCTGTTTTAAGGAAATGTAAAAAGGAAAAAAAGAAGAAGAGGAGACTGGTGAAAGATGGAAAGGTTGTTAATGAAAAGGTTGTGCCTCTTGCACAAGTTGTGAATGCTAATGATGATGTCGAAGAGGAACCCTATTCCTTGGTTCGTAAGTCCTCAAAGAACCTTACTATTCCAAAGACCAAAAGGGAGTCCTCTATGGTTAGAAAGGAATTGAGAAGGATGAGGGTGAAAAATTTGTTGAGAAAGAGAGTGAGATGGGTGTGAGCAATATCGAGGGTGAAAAATCTAGTTGAAAAGTCTGGTAAGCGTCTGGTTAGGAAGTCTGTTGATGAAGTGTCATCTGCTGAGAAAGGAAAGAGTGCACGAAATCAGTAAAAAGGAAGGTTGGTACTAGTGAGGAACCTAGTTCCTCAAAAAAGGTCAAGGTTGATGCAACCCAAGGTCCCGAGAAGGAAATATTGAAAAATCAAAAGGTGTTGTGGGGCCGTATATTTTCCCCTAATACTCTATTTGGCTGGCATGCATCAATTGGTGGAAATTTGTGAATTTCAATAGTGGACACACTTGCTCACAGGTGACAGTCCCAAAGTGTATGAGGAAGAAGTGCGGCATTTTTATGCCAACTTATTTATAGTTGAAGATGATCACATTTGTATGATGGTGAACGGTGTTGATTTTGTGATGGACTCTGATGTGCTGAGAACTATTTTGGGTGTGCTCACTGAGGATTTGTCTTCTATTCAAGGAACATGCACTTCGAACTTTAGAAATTCTATCTTGAAGGATGTGGAAGTTCAACACGGGGAACGAGTACAAAAGAAGGCCCTCCTTCCAGTGTACCAATTATTGTTTGAAATGGTGAACAAGGTCTTGCTCCCTCGTTCTAAGAGAAGGTCCATTACATATCAAGCGGACCTGGTTCTCATGGAAGCACTGGATGGCTACACAACTATCAACCTGCCTGCCATCATGATAGAACACATGCACAAGGTAACAGATTTCAAAGATGGTAATCATGGGCTGCCTTACGGGTTCTTTCTTACTAAGGTGTTTGACTTCTTCAAAGTCCCTTTAGGACAAGATAAAGTGGGTACCTGTAAGCAAACCTTTTCCAAGACTACCATCGAGGAATGTGAATGCATTGAAAAGGTTGGAGGGGTTGGCAGCACTTCTACTATCTCCCAGTTGATCAACGCTCAAAACAGTACCACTGCCGAGATAAGTAAGCTGAAGGCAAGGAATACCATTCTTGAGGGTCAGCTAAGTCAGCTTCAGGAGGCACCTGGTTCTAACAGCTCTCAAAGCACAAAGGTTGCCTGTCTGACCAAGGAAAATGTCGACCTCAGGAAACAGGTTCAGGACCTAAAGGAGAGACTGCTCAATGAGCAAGTGTCTGTTAATGCTCGAATGGACATCCTTCTTCAAACTCTTGCCTCTTCATCTGGGCCTTCCCCTACTAGTGATCCTTAAACAATGTCCTCTTCCCAAGTGTCAAGTTCTTAGTATCTATCTTCTAGGTCTGATGATGTTTTATAATTGGTAATTTTGTTTTTGCTGTTTTTATTTTGTGGATGTGTTTGGAAACATGGAACTTCTCCCTGCTTAACTATCCAAAATTAATGAAATTTTCATCCTTTTGCTATGTTTTAGTCATGATTATGTGCACACATATGGTATGAGTTAACTAAAGCTAGACTTCTTTTTTCTTAAGGCTTGCTACTGATCTTTTTATGACGCTAAAAGGGGAAATAATTAAAGGGAAACAGGATAGGGAACAGATTCCGGGGGAATACTGGAAATGCGAATGTCATTCTTGTTCTTAGGGGGAACTTGAATTATAAGTTTGTCATCATCAAAATGGGGAAATTAATAGGTTATATGTGTATCCCTATTATGTTTTAATGATCTAACAAACCTACTAATAAGAACCAGATAAGGAACCTAATACACATCCTTAAGAACTTAAGATCAACAAGTCTCCAGTTTGGGACACGATTCAACTCTTCAGAGTCAAAGAAATAGCAGAGGGAACAGATAGCTACCAGTTCCCATGGTGACTGTACAAGTCAACCCTCCCAGCTATATAATTGCTACCTGCATATGCAACAGTGCAAGAACAATGCAAAAGTCAACTTTATGGGGAATTCCCTTTACCTAAGTTGCTTGCATCATTCAAGTGATGTCACAAATGAATTATTATCATCAAACAAAGGTAAAACAAAACATTTGCACATTCAAGAATTGATCAAGCATTCTTTCAAATCATCCATCAATATTGCAAGTGACTCTCAAAGGTATCAAGAACAAAAAACAACATAACAACGGACCAGTTCCCGACATCGAGTTATTACACGTCCTTAGTTGTGTTGTACCTTTGTTAAAGCACTCTACTTGTAATTCCCACTTAGCTTAGTTAGAAGCATTGTGTAGGAAATCTTTGTAAAACATAAACCCTTATGTTTGTGTCTTGGCTAGAGTTAGTCGAGTTGTAAAGTCTTTATAATAGAGTTATTACAAAGTGTCTTGTAATAGTATTATTACAAGTTAGTGATGGATTAAGAGGTTAATTTCTAGGTTACAATAGTTTGTAATCTAAAGTTTGCTCAGTAGCGAAGTTGAAATCCTTCAAGGGTAGGTCATGGTTTTTGATCCCGTGAGTTGGGAGTTTTTCACGTAAAACTCCATAGTGTCATTTACTTACTGCAGTGTGCGTGTGTTTTATGAAAACTAATAAAGAATCTGGTTCTCTATATAGTTTGGTAGACACTTAATTTCTATCACTTACAATGTTAGGATTTCTTTTTATCGTTTTGACGTGCCAAACAAGTTTTTGTTTAGGAATTTTTGTACGATTGTGTTTTTTCTATATTTTTCTTCTCCATACATATCCCATAGGATGTTCACATTAAATCTTGTAATAAACTTAGCTCTCATAGTCATAAATTATAAAAATTACTTAGTCATGAGTAAATAATAATAAATTTATATTTGTTTATCATGAAAATGGTAATAATAATTAAATTTGTTCATGGGACTCTAAAAATACGTGATCTATTTTTATGCCAGTTTGTTAAGCAGTTGACGCTAAGTATATGAGATTTAGAGACGAAATAAAGTTAGGGAGAGAGATATAATCAAACTGTTAGGCCAACTATTCGGGGCCTCGAGCCTGTCGATTTGGGGCCTCAAGGTCGATTCCAGGGCTCAGGCTCGAGCTATCGTGGGTGATCGGGGTAGGGCTACCAGTTATGAAATAAACAACAAGAGCTCTTTATATCCAATGATAGAAAAT